TTGTACCTTGTACCTGGTAGGAAGACACTCGCACACCCTGACAACCGCCACCCCGGTTCCTCTGCAAAGTATCTTCCTTCAGACCCCCTCTTCTCTCTCACACACACATGTTGTTGTACACACGCCAGTTTGTACTTCATTTTTCCTGAAAGCTAAAGCTTTAAATACTGCAATTCTATTTACAGACAAATCTACATGTAGGACGAAATGAAAAGAACCACCATCACAACATAAGAACCAGAAACAGGGTAACACTCTTAAACAATTACAAACCAGCTAGAAAATACTCTGGCAGTGTTTACAAATTAATCGATAATCTGTACAAAACCAGTAAATAATGGTGATGCAGACAGACTACGTCATCAACTTAAATAAAACTGCTATGCACAGTCTGTACACAGAAACACACGCCTAACACTGTTTGACAGCTCATGTGTTGCCCTTTATACATTTTAATTTTCTAAGGCTCACGCAGTCATGATTTGCACACTTGTACTTTCAGCCATTCTGTGTGTGAGCTTTATAGCAGCAACTCAACGGTACCAGGGAACCTGCATTCTCAAGACTTAAAGTAAAAAATATACTGTCGTACTCACTTACTTTGTGTGCCAGATACTACATGAAAAAAAAAGACAAAATGCAAACAGAACACAGTATGACATCTCATCCCTGTACACCAGTTAAGCCCAATAACTGGAAAAGTCTTATGCATGAAGGAACTTTTGAAGACTTAATAGTATTCCTTTTTGTTTCTTAAAACAATAAATACGATATTACATTACAAATAGGTTCAACGAGAAAAGTCAACCAAACACACACCAGCCTAGAACCAGGTGAGTTCAGTCATCAGACTTTTGGGGAAAGAAACCCAAAACAAAACAAAAAAACACCCCGAAGAAAGAAACCCCAAACAAAAACCAAAACAGCTCTGTGCAGCTGGTAAGGAGAATCACACAGGCTGAAAGCAGAGGCAGATGAGATAGGACCAGCATGGAAGAAAGCTTGGCATAAATGGGTTCCCATACAGGGAAAAACCCCACAGTGCATTTCCAATAGGCACTTAACATGAAGCTCCTCCTCCCCCTCCTCCACTCCAGTGCTTCAGTTCAGACCACACAGATTATTTTGTACCAAGTCCAGTGTGTGTGAGGGGAGGAGACTGGGGATGGAGGCTGAAGGAGAGGAAGATAGTCTGCACCTTTGATTTTAATTCCCAAACATACACCACGCATACCCACACACAGAGTTTAAAGTGCCGGCGTCTTCTGTCTCCCCCCGCCCCCCACCACCACATTGCATATTGTGGAAATCTATCCAGAGTAAACTGGTCAGGGATATGAGTTGAGTGCCTACTATGAGCCTCCTGACGGGCCAGGAACATAGTGTTTCAAATGTTCAGTTGGGAGGTTAGTTTTCACGACTTCCCGGTTTCTACAGCCCTTAGCATCCAAGGAGAGGATTTGAGGTACTATGCCTTATTTAAACACCAGGTCAAGATGGCCACTGTCACCTGCTGGTGGGAACGCCATGCTTGGAAACAACTGGTAGGATGTGCAGCTGACAAAGCCTCCAGTTTGGGACACCATTCCTGAGGATTAACGGGGATGCCTGGTATTCTTATCACTTCACTTTCTACCTCTTGACTTCCCTTAACCCATCTCACTCCTTCCTGGGGGAAGGGATGCGTAGGCTCAGGCCAGAACTAGCCCACTCCCTGACACAGTGGGAGACCCCCGCCACGTCCCAGCTTCAGGAAGCATCCCTGATAGAATATCACTCACACAATGGGATGTCTTTCTCCCTAGAGGCCTCTCCATCTGACCCCATCCTGAGAAGTGATCTCCCTGAGTGTGACCTTAAGAGCCCTTTCCCTGGTCGCAGGGGCCTGGGAAGCCCAAGGATGGAGGGATCCAAGCCTGCTGCTCCACGGGACTGCTGTGTCATCTGACCTGTGGTCCTCACTATGGACCACTCAAGCCAGTGAGCTCCAGACCTGTTCTCACTCCAAGCCCCTGATCCAGGAAAGGAAGCAAAACGGAAGGATGCTTCTTGCAGAGGCTGGAGGACTTTAGGTCACACAGGCTTGGGCGCTCTCACCAGTGGAGGTTCTCCTTCTGCTAAAGAAATAGGAATTTGCAAAATTCACCTTAAGGTAAACAATTCAATTGAAATGGTGATGGTTGCAACAGGAATGCTTGGATGGCAACTAGAAAAATAAGAATTCTAAAACAACCCACAAGGACCTAAGTAATGAACCGGAAACTCACATATACACTGGGGATGGGAGAGGTGGAATTGGGTATGAAGACAGGAAAATCCACAACAGCTTCGAGCGGCGGGGCTCTTCTGTTTCCCGTGTCTGCAGCCAGAATTTGTAAACACATTCTTGATCTGTGCACCACCGACACCAACACCGGCCACTGGCAGGAAGTCGACCCGCACCGGACCGGCTGGGTCCTCACGGATACAAATCATTTTTAAACTACTTGCAAGGTGGGCAGCGCGGGGCAACAGACAAAAGGGCAGCGCGGGCGGGGCGGCCGACGGGGCTGCGGCCACAGGCGGCAGCCGGACGCTCACCGACTGCAAGAAGCGCAAGGTGCCCACGTAGTCGCGCTCGGTGCTCAGGATCTCGTTTAGCACGCACAGGCAGAGGCGCAGCTGGCGTTCGGACTCGCGGGAGGCCACACAGGGCCCCGAGCCGGGAACGCGGGTGTTGGGCTGCGCGCCGTCCCCGCCGGGGTCCCCGCCGCCATCGGTCGCCTCCATCGCCGCGCCACGCCAGCTCTTCCTGCACCGATGTCGCACTGCTGCTCAAGCATCCGGGCACCACGTCCGGTCTCGGGGAGTGGGCGGGGCAAGAAGAGGGTTCTGACAAGGTCTGGGCGGAGCCTGTGGAGACCAGAGGCGAGGGGCCGGGCCTAGCGTGGGCTGGGCGTGGGCTGATGTGGGGTTGGGCGCGGGGGAGCATTGGCCAAGAGCCAGCAAGCACTCCGAGTTGGGGGTGCGGCGCTGGGCGCCCTGGGTTGAGGGTCGACGGAGTCGAGAGGCCTGGATGGGCGCAGCTGCTCCACGCGTGGACACGTGGGATCGCCGCCGCGCCGCACATGCACAGGGTACGCCTCAAGGGGCTGGGACAGCGGCCGCCAAGCACCACGCGGATCACCGGGGAAGAGCCGCCCTAGGGCAGCAGCGGGGAGAAGACAGGATAGCTGCTGGATGCTGCCGCCTCCAGCTCCTATAGCCCCTTGCAGCACCCCTGCAGCCAGCGGGGCCCCAGGCAAACACCAGGTCCCACCCCGCGCCGGAGCACACCCGCGGGGACCTGACGGAGTCAGGCGCACAGAGCGGGCACTGAGAAGACCTGGTGATGCACATCTGCAGCCAGCCGGACCCCCGGCGAGGGAAGCGACAGGGGCCCTGAGTCCCTACAGCAGGATCCATGGGGCCCTCCGAGCTTGGGGCCCTGAGTCCCTGCAGCAGGACCCATGGTAGGAAGAGTCTGCTCCTGCTCGCTCTTTCGAGGAGTGCCTCAACAAAGTCTGCTCTCCCCCGTGCAAAAGGAAAAGGACAGGGTGAAGGGCCGGGCCAGCCTGCACCAGGCCTCCTGGAGCGACAGCACTGCCAGGTGGTCCTCAGCGCTGCAGCCAAAGCCTGGACTGAGTCCGCCAACCAACCGGTGCCGCTGGACCCAAGCCCAGGGGCCATAGCGGGCACAACGGGGAGCACCCAGCTCCAGCTGACGGGGGCCTCCACCCGGGCCCCCGGGTCACCAGAACCTCCACCACCCGAGTTTCCAGCGGTTCCAGGTCGGCCCGCTATGCTGGAGTGGCAGCCCTTCTTCCTCCGCGGGGATGGCCCAGCAGTCCCGTCTCAGCGCTTGGTTGAAGGGGCCTCACTGGGGCTGATCAGAGTGTATTCCAAGATGCCAGTCTCTTCCGGGGCCAAGCCCGGCCACCTCCCGGAGAAACACGATGCACCGCGGCCGCTCCTGGAGACAGGTGGGACCTGGAGCAGCCACTGCCACCCAGACTGGGAAGCTGCCAGGGAAGCGGAGATGCTGCGGCCAGAGCATGAGTCCCTGCGCCAGGTCCCGCCAGAACTGCCGCTTACTCAAGAGTCCCAAGAAGAGCGATTCCAAGCCCTGAGAGACCGCATCCAGCGTGCCCAGGCTTTCTCCCAAGAGAAGCCACAGGCCGAGTTACCCCCGGGGCCCCGAGCCCGGGAAGAGCTGCCCTCTAGCAGCGGCGGGGAGAAGACAGGAGAGCTGCTGGACGCAGCCGCCTCCAGCTCCTATAGCCCCTTGCAGCAGCCCTGCAGCCATCGGGGACCCAGGCAAACACCAGAGACCACCCTCGCGGGGGAGCACACCCGCGGGGATCTGACTGAGTCAGGCGCACACAGCCGGCACCGAGGAGACCTGGTGACGCACATCTGCAGCCAGCCGGACCCCCGGCGAGCGAAGCGACGTCTGTCTCCAGGCTTGGGGCCCTGAGTCCCTGCAGCAGGACCCATGGGACATTGAAAAGTGCCGGGCCAGCCTGAACGGGGCCTCCTGGAGCCACAGCACTGCCAGGTGGTCCTCATTGCTGCAGCCAAAGCCTGGACTGCATCCGCCAACCAGCTGGCGCCGCCGGACCCAAGCCCCAGGGGCTGCAGAGGGAGCAACGGGGTGCAGCCCAGCTCCAGCTGACGGGGGTCTCCGCCTGGGCTCCCGGGACACCAGAACCTCCACCGCCCGGGCTGCCGGCGGTTCCAGATTGTCCTGCTACGCTGGAGTGGCAGCCCTGCTTCTTCCTCTGGGATGGCCCAGCAGGCCTATCTCCTCGTGCCAAGGAAGGGGCCCCATTGGGGCCAGTCAGAGTGAGTTCCAAAACGCTAGTCTCTTCAGGGGCCAAGCCTGGCCACCTCCCGGAGGAACACAATCCGCCGCGGCTGCTCCAGGAGACAGGTGGGACCTAGAGCAGCCACTGCCACCCAGACTGGGAAGCCGCCAGGGAAGAGGAGATGCTGGGGCCAGAGCTCGAGTCCCTGCGCCAGGTCCCACCAGAACTGCCGCTTCCTCAGGAGTCCCAAGAAGAGCGATTCCAAGTCCTGAGAGACCGCATCCAGCACGCCCAGGCCTTCTCCCAAGAGAAGCCACAGGACGAGCTGCCCCCGGGCCCCGAGCCCAGGAAGAGCCTCCCTCTAGCAGTGGCGGGGAGGACAAGACAGGGGAGCTGCTGGACACAGCTGCCTCCAGCTCCTATAGCCCCTTGCAGAAGCCCTGGAGCCAGCGGGGCCCCAGGCAAACAGCAGGGCCCACCCACGCAGGGGAGCACACCCGCAGGGACCTGACGGAGTCAGGCACACACAGCGGGCACCGAGGAGACCTGGAGACGCCGTCTGCAGCCTGCCGGACACCCGGCGAGCGAAGCGACACCTGTCTCCCAGCTTGGGCCCCCAGTCCCTGCAGCAGGACCCATGGCAGGAAAAGTCTGCTCCTGCTCGCTCTTTTGAGGAGTGCCTCAACCAAGTCTCCTCTCCCCAGTGAAAACGGAAAAGGACAGGGAAAAGGGCCGGGCCAGCCTGCACCAGGCCTCCTGGAGTCACAGCACCACCTGGTGGTGCTCATCGCTGCAACCAAAGCCTGGACTGCGTCCGCCAACCAGCTGGCGCCACTGGACCCAAGCCCCAGGGGCCACAGCGGGCCCAAAGGGGTGCAGCCCAGCTCCAGCTGACGGGGGCCTCCGCCCGGCTCCCGAGCCACCAGAACCTCCACAACCCAGGCTGCCGGTTCCATGTCGGCCCGCTACGCTGGAGGGGCAGCCCTGCTTCTTCCGTGGGGATGGCCCAGCAGTCTAGTCTCTGTGCTCCGAGGAAGGGGCCCCATTGGGGCCAGTCAGAGTGAGTTCCATGATGCTAGTCTATTCCGGGGCCAAATGTGGTCACTTCCTGGCAGAACCCAATCCACGGCAGCGGCTCCGGGAGACAGGTGGGACCAGGAGCAGCCACTGCCACCCAGACTGGGAAGCCGCCATGGAAGCCCAGACGCTGCCACCCGGAGCACGAGTCCCTGCGCCAGGTCCCTCCAGAACTGCAGCTTCCTCAGGAGTCCCAAGAACAGCGATCCAAGCCCTGAGAGACCCCATCCAGCGCCCCCAGGCCTTCTCCCAAGAGAAGCCACAGGCCGAGCTGCCCCCGGCACCCCTAGCCTGGGAAGAGCCACCCTCTAGCAGCAGCGGGGACAAGAAGACAGGAGAGCTGCTGCATGCAGCCACCTCCAGCTCCTATAGTCCCTTGCAGCAGCCCTGCAGCCAGCGGGGCCCCAGGCAAACAGCAGGGCCCACCCGCGCTGGGGAGCACACCCTCAGGGACCTGACAGAGTCAGGCACACACAGTCAGCACCGAGGAGACCTGGAGACGCGCATCTGCAGCCTGCCGGACACCGGGCGAGTGAAGCGACGCCTGTCTCCCAGCTTGGGCCCCCAGTCCCTGCAGCCGGACCCATGGCAGGAAGAGTCTGCTCCTGCTCGCTCTTTTGAGGAGTGCCTCAACCAAGTCTGCTCTCCACAGTGCAAACGGAAAAGGACAGGGAAAAAGGCCGGGCCAGCCTGCACCGGGCCTCCTGGAGGCACAGCACCACCAGGTGGCCCTCAGCGCTGCAGCCAAAGCCTGGACTGCGTCCTCCAACCAGCCGGTGCCACTGTACCCAAGCTGGACCCAAGCTGGACCCAAGCTCTCTGCCGCCTCCCTGTCGTCTCCACTGGCCTCGTTACCCCTGCCTAGCATCTCTCCTCCCTCTTCCCCTCCCATCCTTCCTCTCGCGCCCCCTCTCCCCCTCTCCGCCAACCAAGTGGTGCAGTTGCCTCCAGTGGACCCGCCTGAAATCCTGGCTCGGAGCCACGGACCCAGACCTGCTCATGCTCAATCTGCTCCCTCCCCCTCCCTAGCCCCGCGTTTCCGCAATGCAACTGCCTACCCTGCCCTCCCTGCTTCTTCCTCATTGGGCTCAGGCCCAGCTGCTGTCAATGCTGCACCCTCACGCCACTGCCGCCCATTCCAGAAGGTTGCTCAGGCCCACCCACTGCCAACGCTGCACCCGCCGCTGTTTCTGCCCATTGAAGTCCAGTCCCAGCTCGCCACCACCAAGCGTCTCCGAACATTCCCGAGCGCCTCTGCCACAGACAAACGGTCCCTCGGCAAAGTGGAGGTCACCCCTCCCCACTTGGTATGAGTTGATGCCTAGCGATCAGGAGGGTATTTTCTCTGACTTCTTCACACACACACCCCTCCCCCGCCAAGCCCTCGGCTCTCGCCCCCTCTCCCCAGGTGGGGCGGGAGCTCAGTCGCAGCTGCGGTCCAGGACCTCGAGGACTCCCTCCATCCGTCCCCCGGGGAAGCTGGGCCTCTGAACCCAGGACAGGGCTTCTGGGCAGAGTCGTGACTGGCGCTTGCTGCCCGGCTTCCGGACAGCGGCCTGACTGGGGTTTGTGGGGTGGGGAGCCCGTACCCGGGGCTGCACTGCCCACCCCTTCTCCTGGGAGGGGGGCTTGGTGGCTAAGGGCCGACTTGGGGTGACAGGGAGGGGGAGGGATGATGCGGGGGCCTTGGCACCTACAGGGTGGGGGGGGACTGGGCTGTGCCTCCTTCCCTAGGCCGAGTGAAGGTCACCCCTCTCCATTTGGTATGAGTTGATGCCTAGCAATCATGTTCCGAAGCGCTGCTGCCACCGCCGAACGTTCCCTAGCGCCGCCAACTGCCGATGCCACCTCCACCACTGAACATTCCAGAGCGT